AGAATAGCAAGACGTTTTGTGTGCTATTTTGATTCATCTCAGTGTTCTTATTTCGTTGGTATTGCGATTGCCACAACGATAGTACCCTGTAACATTTAACATTGTATTACATAAACAGATGTGGGTATTATTCATTGTTTATTACACGTGAAATCCAGATCCTTCATCTTTCAATTATAATTAATTCATGACGGTTAAATGAAATGGAAAGAAAACATTACCATATGTACATGTTTTGATGGTGCAAAGGGGTGTGTTTATTCTTATAGTATCGGTTCCGAGACTTATAAAATCTATTGCAGAATATAAATGTCCATTTTCTTTGTTATAGATTCATTTGAAATTACAGCTGCAACTGACAGCGATTCAAGCCAGTGTGTAGTGCTAACTTGCTGTTTACAAACGCTATCGACAACCTTCGGATGTAATTGACATGATCAATGAGTTAAAGCTTCAGGTGTGTTCCGACACCTGTAGTGATGATCGCCTTCAACTTACCTGGCTAATCATATCATCAATAACACTCTATTGTCAGGAAACAGGTAAGGCGTTTAAAGTCACAGATTAGCGGCATTAATTTACTAAAGGTAGGATCGGCTCGATTTAGAGAACATTGATACAACTACAAAGATACGAGATAAAGAAATTAATGTGATAAGTGGAAGCGGCGTGATCAAAGCGAATGGACACAAAAGAGCAACAATGGACTACTAAACAGGTAAATAGATTACAGCTTCGTCTTAAAGGTAAATAGCTTGAAGTGTTCGACAGGAGAAGTCATTTTTGACTCCTTTGAAGCTCCCATTACGTTTGACGAGTGTCTAAGGTAATATTGCATGATGTTTGCAAGATAGATACGGTATACTATTCACTAAGTATCGTAAATGGTCCCGAACTTGAGTGTGATGAAATTAACCATTCATCATTTGTATGGTTGCACAAGAGTTTCTATGAAGTCGCGTTGAACGAATCCTAATTGCTAAGAAATGCATCAAACGAAATACCGACTAAACAAGAACTGCGAGTTTGTTTTGAAAATACTTCGTTATTCACACATCTAGAACATATTTCACAAACGATGTTATCATTTGATGTTGTGAGGTTTGATAGAAGACGACGGATCTTTAATATCAGTGAAGTCTCCTGGGGTTCTTGTGCCCCAGCCGTCCCCTTTGGCGAGGATTCTTTGAACTAGGAAAGAATGAGTTTATTTATCCTAGAAATTCAACTATAGGAGATTGAAACGTGGTTCCAACCCCAAAACGACCCATTCTGTGTAATTAGAACCACTTGTTCTTAAAAATCCCCGGAGAGGAGGCATATCGCGTCTTTTACCTTTTGTATATTTGTATCAAAAGGCTTGATTTTTTCTCGATTCTTTGAGCACAAGCCAACATATTTCTTAGGGGCATATTTCTTTATTTTTACAGACTTCTGCAATTTATAAGAGAAATTATTTCTGAAATACCATGTATTTGGAAACATTTGTCGCAGCTTTGAAATGTAACAGCAGATCCGGGTGATTTCTTATTGATGTGCGTTGCAGTTTATTACCAGAAAAGCCAGTTTATCTTACACCGCACGTGCAGCATGTGATTGCGCGAAGACATCCTTGGTCGATTTTATTTGTTACAAAAATGTTACCACAGAAAAGATACCGTCTTGAAATGCACATTTGCTGTTCAAATACCCTCAAAAAGCAAGACATTCACAAAGTGAACAATTTCCGCATTCGCTGATATGCCTTTCTACCAGACATGAGTTGATAAAAATCTACGCGGCTGTCAAAGTGACATCACGGGAGTCGTTCGTAATCCACATTCCAAGTGTGCACTTCCGTTTCTGTTCAGACGTCCGAGTCAACAGCGCACCTACCGCTGTGTTTATAAGTCCTTGTGATGAGGTATATTACACTTGTAGTGAAATGATTACACGATCAAACGGATAAACTTTGATTTGTTTACGTTTACATCAACGAAATATGTGAACGGATATAACACGGTTTGTCACGAAGTGATACGTTCTGATCAAAGTTGCGCAAACAGTTGCTATTAAGCGACGTGTATATTTCATAAACCTCATGTCAGTCACAACGAAGTTTGATACAAACTAGATTAAGATATTGTCAAACAGGCACAAATACTTGGGGTTTCTATAGGCATTACAGGCTGTTTAAAAATTCACAAGTGTCAATTTCAAAGAGTGAATTTTATTAATAAAAAAATGAGCCCTGAAATAGACTGACAAGCTTTTTCCACTTGACTGCTTCGGCATCTTTTTGTTGAAGGCATCATGGGAGTTGTTATGGAGTGGACATCCATATATCCCATCAACCCCCTCCAAAGATGATAGCTGTTTACGCTAAGTTAACATGTCCCCCTTTCATCTGTAATGGCGCGAAATGATGACACCGGCACAGGGCAAATGTATCGTAATGCAGAGAGAAGTCATTAAATAGAAGCCACGCTGTGCCTTTCTGAAAAGTCAACTACCTTTTTTTGTGATGGTGTCCCTCGAGTCGAGATCTCAGTGGGATCTCGCGAAGCGCAGCGGGATCTCGCGATGTGAGAACCGACTGGGTGAATTGTCAGCCAACTACCAAAGGAATAGGATTACAGTCTAAAGCGCGCCCCTCCGCCACCCGAGCTCAATTTCAATAGAGATATTAACTCGATAGATCTCCCGTGGTGCAGCCGTTATAGAAGCCCTACTCATGTATGCGAAGTATACACGTTTAAAACAGGCCGGCTTTGGTCAGGAAGTTTTTAAAAAAGAGGAAATCTATCGCGACACAGCTCGGTTTGCATAATCCCAATAGACTTATATTTTCCTCATAATAGTAGATTAAATCTCATTAGGATAATTATGCTTTATCTGACATGAAGTGACACTGGTTTAATGAACTGGAATATACCATAAACGGGTATAAATAAACGTTTATGAAAGATTAAAAACCTAGTTGGGGCTTGTAGTGATTTACCATCCCTGAATAATCGCTCATAGTGTGATGTAAATGTTATTTTGATTACTGGTTCGTGAAATGTTAACACCATCAGCTGTTACCACAGACCTATACACAGTTCCTTGTCATAGACGCCCAAAAGGATTTATTAAGTAGTGTGTACATTATCATCGGACCACCAGGCTATGCTAATAGGGACGCCCAGAAGTTTCGTCAACATTTACAGATTTTAACATCATAAGCGAGTAGCTGTTCTTGTGACACCAGAGCTGTATGCATACATTTGCCATCATTGCCCTAAAGTGTCCACGGATTGTTGAAAGCGATCCTAGAGAATAATAAATCTGACCGATAACGAATCTCTTCTTAAGTACACGCCATATGACACTTTCTGAGGGTTTCCCAAACCACAAAAGAATCCACAATGTATATATTTATCATAATCCACTGGTACCAAACCCATCTGACAGGCTTATTCAAGACAGACATGAACAGATCGGGCACATGGGCCTTATGTGATTGACAAGGTATTCAATAGCGGGTTAGACCGACTGTTCACGAACCCTGCTTCCAGTGGTTTCTCCACCATCACTTGTCAGCAGTTTCTGAAGAAAGTGACCGAAGCTCATTGGGACAAGCCAACACCGGAATTGACCCATCAAAACTATGGTCTAAACAGACATGAGCTTGATTGACAAACCGCCCGGGGGCACACAGCGGCCAATTAACACCCCAAAAGCAATAATCGGAAACAAATTAGATACACGAATTGCACGAGGGGCTGATATATCATATTGATAAGGTTCTGAAATGCGGTTTTCAAAGGGAAAAAATATTTACATTTTTTATTGATTTATATTTTTTTATTTACATCATATACTTATATATTTAATCATTTATTTATGTTATGCTTTGTACTCTTTATTATTCTTGATTTGATTTATATATTTAACAAACTCGAGATGTATTTATATATTCAATAAACTTTGAAATGGTGTTTCAATTGAAGCCATTGGACAAATGCGCACCTGCGAAACTAATCAATGATTCGCTTACTCCCTCAACAAAGTTACCCTTGCTTGAAATCGGTGGCCGCTTTGTAAACATGCACAGCAATCGAAATTGACAAACTGTATACAGTGTTGTTGATTACATGCCTAATTCATCGACAAACATGTCAATAAAGATCAAAGATCTGTCACAATGTAATTCGATAGCACACTGACTTGGCCATATCACCAAACATAGATTGCGGATGGTGGCGGATAAACCGATATGTTTTTTCAACAAATATATTAGGCAAAATGATATGGGCACGATCGGATTTCTTAACTGAAATCCGTTTCAAGTGCAATCGTCACCAGACGTTTTGGCTGCATTACGCCTCATTTGGCGGACGACATTTGGCGGATTAACTTTAATTGTTTCGTCTACGGCTTCATGATTTCACAGCTATCAGTCACCTCCGACTGTCAGCGATAATAACAGCTTATGTCGCACACTCGCTGCCAAGGAAACACTTTACATGATTTTTATTGTTTTAGTTTTAAATTTGTATTCATTGTTTTCCGTAATTAACAATTCGCATGGGATTAAATATGATTCCTATTATTATAGAAATGAATGTGAATTCATATTTTGGTGCATTAGGTTTTTGAATGCCATTGTTGGAAAGTTGCCTGGTGATTAGAAATTAAATCGCGTGTGAATTTAGAATTTTCCCTTGCGAAATGAAGATGATCTGCTGGATGTATTGTTATAAACGTATATACATTTCCAATCCCTGTTTTCGGTTGTAGACGCGTCATTGTTTTCACCAAATCTCACAATAAATACAAATGAAGTTGTCTTTATAATCACAAAGTCGGAAGTAAAGAAACAATCTAAAGAGGAAAGAATCGTTTCGACTGCACGAAGAAAGAAAAAAATGCTTTACTAGAGCAACTACGGAGTGGCACAGAAAGAATGAAAATAAATTTGTATAAATATAAATAAATAGCTAAAACTACAACACAAATGTGAAATAAATCTGACTCACCTTAACTTGACTCTCCGACATTCCCAGTGCATATGCAAGCCTCGCCCGTTCAGGTCCCGCCAAATATTTGGTTTGTTCAAAGGTTTTTTCAAGTGCAAAGATTTGTTGTCCAGAAAAGGTTGGTCTTGTGTGCTTCTTCTTTCCATCCTTGTCGACAATTACATTGGATGAGTTGGCTGTAAAACGTGCACAGGAGCCTTCATTTGGAACGAAAAAATGGGAGGATTAGGACAAATGACGAAGTGTTAATTTAATGAACAAGACATGGAAATGAAATATTGGGGCGGCGCTATATGATTGTCAAGGGATCAGTCAAATGCATCGCAAAAAAACACAATGTTCAACGCGATGCGTTAAATAAAATCTGAAATATAGTCTTCTCTTTACACTAATTTGCTGCTATCTGAACATTTTGAAAACTGGTTGCTACTCATAACGTTTTTGAAGTTAACTGCTTGAGTTTATTTAATAGATGTTAGTGCGTTTTCAATTTTCCCACTACTCAACCGATAGAGACACTATGGAAGGAAGAGAAGGTATTTTCATGTTAAAAATAATTCATTTTACTTTCTCTCAAGGATCAGCACATAGTTTGAAATGAATGAAATGTGGATTGGAATCTGCTGTTGTAATCTGTTATATACTATCAACGACATCCTATTCATTCACAAAAGTAATTCAAAATTTGTATATACTGTACACAACCGTGAAATTGCAATACAAGCTTATCTTAGGATCTGCACCGGGTTTTTTAACCCACCACCACGCGTCTGTCGCAAAACCAACACAAGGACATGTAAGATTCTGGTGCGTTTGCCGGGGGGCAATTTTGTCCCTTAATTTGGAACATGTGTCGACAATGTGAAGTTGTCATGTTCACTGGGCCCCGAAATCCCTTTCTGCTATATACAAGGACGTTGCATTACACGAACACTTCCTCTATGGATACCACATGCTATGAACAAACTGAAATGTACAGCCGTGTCGATTGCTATCACTTTGGTTTCTAACAATTAGCGGGTGTCATCTGTAACCAGTTAATTGCGTGATCTCAATCCTCTTTTCCCCCTCCCCTCTGGTTTATTCCTGTCATCATTTAGGATATTATCGATATCTTGTTATTGGGCATCGATTGCGTGCGCCATATAATCCGGTTACTGTCAAAATCAGAGCGGACTGTTGTCGGCAGCTGTCAATCAAAGATAATTTTGTCACGTGTGATGTTTGCGTTTGTTTTGAAAAAAAATATTGCAGTATCACCTTGTACTATTTTCTATCGTTATTGAGAGGTGTCTGAATCTTTAACTCTTAAAGGTTGATGTAATTCTTGTATTTTTAAATCCGTTTAACAGTAGTTAAACAAATCACAATCCTGGGTTATTTGGAAATATACATTCACATTACGATTAGACTGTCAGTGAAAGTATGTGAATATTCTTTAAAAATATTTAGCTTGTAATTTTTCAAAACGTTTAAGAATAGTTGTAATGTACATAGTGATCAGAACATTAGTTTGTTCTCATGTGAGCAGTACTGTTGTTATCCATATCCCACACATGTAGCTTATTCTAATATGATCAGTTGTGAAAATATTATAAACTCTAGAATTGTTTTACAATAACATAAAAACACAAAACAAACCCTTGACTTTAACCTCTATTGTATATGGCTGTATGAACAAATTTATTATAGTGTATCTTGATGTTGGAAGAAAATTAGAAAGCCAAATATTTTCCAGAAAGGAATCCAAAATTCCATTTCGAATTTATCAACACTCGAAGTGTATATGTTCACCCTAACCTCAGTTATCCTATACTATCTTTCCTTTGTGAGAATGGTCCCGACATAAGTTCCCAATGTGTGAATACTTACCCCCTTTCCTTGGGAGGGGATACACATAAAAAATATACAATGATGGCCCAACCCCCCACGGCCAGATAACGTTACATGGCAACCACACCAGAACCCCCAAAACATTAAAAAGTTCTCAAAAAAACCTCCCAGTTGTTATAGAGACCCCCGGCATTGCGCGTTCGAGCTGAGAAGCTTGGGTAGACATCGAAAGAGTTAAGTACTTTAAATGAGCTAACAAGGCTGTTATTTTGTCGTTAGGTAATTAGGATATGACATATATATTTTCCGGTCAGTTTTTAAGTGCTTAAACAAAACTCTAACCAGGTGGTAGATCTACCATTGAGAATGGTATATACATTTGTGATAAGTGTTTTAACATCTCTAAATGCACAGACCTGTTTTGAAAATAAGGCTACATGATTTTAACAGGATAATGCCCCAGCCTGGGATATGATGATATGTTAATTGTACTCGATCTGTTGTTTAAATTATTTATTTAACCTCCTATTATTCACACGGCATATTGAAATGTGATTTCGCCACACTTAAGTATATTATAATTGTTCTTTAGGAAAAATGATTATTTAAAATGACGAAAACTTTTGTTGAGAAAAAGAATGCAGGATGGGCTTTTATTATCGTCTAGGGACGACGCGGTAGGGAGTGAAACATTGATGACATAGTTAACGTCGAATGTAAGTCGATATGTTGAAAGATAGATGTTACAAGAATATGGTTTTATTCACCACTGTAATACAATTTGAGGCATTTATTTTGTACACAGAACCTACCTAAGAATCCCAGAACCTACCGCTTTTCTATGAAGAGGTGAATAAGAACATACAATCTGTATTATTTTGGAGAGATTCGATACACAAGGTGTTCAGTAATTTAGCAATATAATAATGAGTTAATTAAGGATAATATTAAAAAATAATAAAAAATGGAATTTAATTTAATTCGATCACACATTCCTGGTGTCAGGGTTAGATTGGATACATGGATCTTATTACAGTTATAATTGCCTTAAAAAACAAATAAATAGAATTCAATAAAGAATGAAGCTTAACTGCGAAACACATGAAAGAGAGTTAACTTTCATCTATACGTTCTTTTGATAAGCTGAGAAGTTTAGAAGGTGCAGTTACGACAAAAATGTTGCCCACATGACTGCGTTCAAGCAAGATAAGTTTTTTTATGAACGTGAATTGCGACCCTTTCATATTTACCTGGCGACGGTCTCCAAGGCTGTGGTAGCACACCCGGCCAGTAGATCGGTTGTCTACCTGGCAATTCTGCGATTTTTGGAAACCGTACTTGTGGGCTAAGGTACATCTGTGGATTAATCCGTGGTATTCCGAGTGGATTCCCGGGTAAGGGACGGCTTAGAATGTCATTAATTCCATGCGGCGTTGAGTTGGCAGCCAAATGCTTGAACGCATTTTGTTGATAGTCTGTTAACTGTTGTGATGAAGGAAACTTCATCTCTGTTAAATTGTGTAACGCCGCTAAAGGAGGACTGCTTAGGACGAAGGAATTCTGTCTAGAGGTGTCCATAGAACCGCTCATGTTTAGAATTGATGCCATGGAAGGATTTGAGGTTGGGTACCCGTTGCCCGACGCATCGTTGGCACAGTAGTCCAACATGTTGGCATCGAATGACTTGTCTTCCGTCACTTTGGATGTTTACGCTCACGGAATATGAAGGTAAGTATGTGTTCGCTCGGCGATAGTACGTCGTCGTTTGAGAAATGTACACGTCTCTGACAGTTCTAACTCGGGCCGACTTACACACTGATCTGTCAATCAGTGGGACCTGTAATTCATAACACCTTGTACCGCCGGAGGCGAGTCCTGTCGTGCGTATCGCACGTTCTGATTGGTCGAGGGGCGGGGCTTATTCCAGCTGTCTGCTGGTTCAGGTAAGGTGTTATTGGCTGAGGGATTTGAGGATAAGAAAATGATTAGGCGTTGTGTTTGAGGTTTGCTACAACAGCGTGACGACGCTGTGTTCAACTACACGTGTTGGTCGTTTAAGATCGAACAAACAAAATTCTACAACATGTTGTGAAGATAAGATCCAATTTCCTAATCACTTTTCGCATCTAAAGTGGAACGGCAGATCTGTTCCGTATTGCATTGTAATTTTGCCAGGGGGTTGGAAATTGTGTTAAAACGAAACTCCGAATAGAAAAATGTCACATTTGAACGAAAATCCTTTAACAAACGAGAAGAAAATTGATAGGGGTCAAAATTCGTTAAAACCGCACAATCGTATTAAAATCTGTTAAAATTATATGTTATTTACTCAACACAACGCGAAACAATTCACCCCTCCTGTTTTAATATTGTATTAATATTAATCCATGATTACATATTTCCATCACCAGAAGTTTTAACTACAGCTTGCTAGTTGCTATGGCTACACTTAAAGCGTTTAAAATGGTTACCTCGCTTGAAAGCCAGTCCCTGGTGTTATTCAAATGACATAAAATCCCTTATCTGAAGGACCCGCCTTTCAAATATCACCCATGACTCGTGTCAGTGAAAATAAATGACTGAAATGTCGCATATACCCTGTTGTATTATCCAGTTTATCAGTTATCAGTTATCACCCTCTCAAGGAGAAAGTGTTATGTTTTACACGCCCGAGTTTGAGTTTGGTCGGGTTCACTAAGGGATTTAACCAGGTAATTTCTTGATGTGACATTTTGGTGACAAAGTTGTAAAGTATTGATTTTTTTCAGTGTTACCCTTTTACAAAATTAATTACATTTTCGTTCTTTCTCTCACAACCTTTTGATTAAGTTGTGTTATAAATTCTTCACGGGCTGCCACGCTCTGCGCATAAAATGTTTTTAATTATGCAAATTCTCTTCGATTTCCTTGGTGGCGTTTCAGTGCCTACAAGGAGATATGTGTCAAGTTTATTGTTAACATCTTCCATTAATTTTTTTTTCGTTACAATTATGATTATGCTGTAGTTAAATTCAAATTTGAAAATAAAAGTAAGCTTTTAGGATACTGTTTTGAAGTGGCGGAAGGATAATATAATGTGTGTGTTTTTGTTGAATAAAAACGGTAAGTGTTCTTCCAATGCCCGTTTACACACAGTTCGTCCTTTTAATGGTGTCTCATTAACATATGAATATTAGCTTGATCAAATATTTAATTTTGAATACCATTTTAACAATATTCATAATATCTATGCTTGCTGTAAAATGTGCATGTGCTTGTTGTACGTTGAGATGGAGGTCAGTCTGGGACACGTGTTGGGGTAACACGGATCTCTTTAACGATCATACAACAGTACATCTGAGATTGTGACTCCTACTTATGTTAAGAATGATATTGGAACTTGTTTCATCGTTTGTGTGCTAAGTAGCTCGTATTATATATGTATATCACACTATGGGATATAAGCAATTGATGCCATACACATATAAAACAGAAATCTCTATGCTGACATAATGGGAAAATATATACTGCACTTCAAAAGAAAGTATACACCATATTTTACCCTGACTGAAATTATGATAAACAAGAACTGATTTTTCAATGGTGATGTATTTAAGATAGGCACCATTGTTGTGTACTTGACGCAAAGTTTTCAGTTTTCAGTTTGGCAACGTTTTGATAACGATTGTAATGTTTTTGTAAAGTCCAAATTTTAAGTGTGTCTTTCTTTTGTCCAACACTTTTCTAATATTCATGTTATGTATGTTCAATAAATGATCAAAACTATACAATTGCTTGTTTGTTTCAAAACAACAATGATTCAGTCATAACCACAAAAGAACGTGTTGTAGTTTTGACAATTGAAATTCACCAAATGTTGATGTTTTGTAACTTTTGTGAGCTCTTCATACAACTATTTCCTTATCGTCTCATGGTCAGCGGTGTATAGTGACATATACACCTCTTTGATAACTGTAGTAGTATTATCATAAGTTACCATTCGTTATATCCAGCAGATTATCTACCTGATAACTGTTGTTGACATAAACACGCGTGTTATCAAACTGAAAGGTTTATTCGAATAATTTAACCCCTTCTGGACATAGCACAACGCGGATAGAGTCAATAAAGCATCCCGTTGTTAACTCCCTTCCACTTAACTTCAGGGAGAAAAAAATGAAGTAAATATGCTTGAAACTCATTACTCACTTATGCATAGCGCCTCCCCATCTTCAACAAAACATCACTGTAGTGACAACTTCCTAGAAGACCATCTGTACAATTATTCGAATATATTTTCTCCTTCAAAGAACCCTCTTTAGCATTAGTTATAGAAACATAGTGATGCGGGGCAATACACTTCAGTAGTTCCTTATACAGTAAACCAAGGTAATTATTTTCTGACATAAGATGGGTTTGGCGGCTTGACTGATCTGAGCAGTGTATTGTCTGGTGGTTTTCAAATTTTAAACAGGTAAGTTAAGTTTTAAAATGATGGTAAAATACGTTGTTACTCAATGTTACCTTTGTTACCTAGCCGGCCAAACTAAACTGGGTTTATATAAGATACCTACACGGACTTATAGTCAAACATAACGATAGTTTAGTTACGTAATATAACCCTAGTATTAAGTGCCACTAGTGATATTTATATAAAGTTAACATGTAAAGTAGTTTTGTCTGAGAATTCTGTAGAATCTGCTGTTGTTATTGATTTTTATTAAAATGACACTGAATCTGAATTCGCCTGGTCTTGTGAATAATCTTGGTTGGTAACACAACTGAAGCAGAATTTAACACTGATATAAAGGAAAATATAAATTATCTGATTCCAATTTGCTACCGTGAATCAAGGAAAAAGTTAAATTTCTGAACAGAATACACCGTTGTTGCAATATTTAAACGTAAAGTGTATGCACCCAAGTATTATGGTGGCCTAAATCGAAACACATAAGAAACTGTTATCCGAAGGTTATGTGTTGGATAAGGGCATCACAGTTGTGTACAGGACCATATGTTTGCTGTATTTCAAGTTTTTCATGTAACTTTTTGCCTGATTCAGTTTTCAGGTGTATAGTTTCTTTCCCAGCCTTTCGATATGTATCTGAGACCAATTAAGTTGCATTAATTATTGTCAACAATTATCATTTGTATTTTTTCAAATGTTTGATATTTGTTTAAAGATTTAAAATTTAACAGAGCCATTTTGTATTATTGGTATTTTTGAAACTTAGTTTGTACATACCTATTTTCATGTGCATAATGTAAAACTCACAAATGTTCAGTAAGGCCCCGCTTATAATTAACTTGAATTTATGTATTCGTAGTAGGTAGAGTCAGTAATGCTGTCCAATAATATTATGCAAATTAGCTGGCACATTATCATAAATTATTGATGTGAAATGTTATCGGAAATGATAATGTAAACAATGATTCAGATAATGCATAATTTACGGCATACCGAAGTTCAAAATCTTATTTATTTACATTCTAGTGCTATATGTATAAATATTTTATTAATACCACAAAGGAAATTTGATTTTGTTTAATAAGGTTTCAATTACTTTTCATAGTTGATGTTAGTTCAAGTTACTAGATATTTAATAACAGTTCAGCATTTATCCCTACAGGACTGACAGAAGCCTGATTGTAATTTCATTTTGAGAATTAAGTTTCATAATACCTATTTTTAACATAAACATCTTTATTAAAAAACGGGAAATATTTCTCTGAAATTTACATGCAAGACAGCAGTATACATCGATCAAATGTTCATTTCAAAACATATGTTCTTTTGAGATAGGTAATCTGACAAATTCTTAGCGGCAAAGATTTCACAAGAATCAATTCCAGCTTCCGTCATTACACGTCCAGGTAGACGTATATGACTTTTACAAGCTGATAAGTGCGGTACATCGTTTTCAAAAGCAACAGCTACAGTGACATATACATGCAATCGAGGTGAAATGAACAACCAGAAATAGAAAACTAGTGGTGCAAAAACTACACAAAGTGCATCGTTTGTTATCTACACCTTGGATACATACATGCGAGAGGAGAGGATCGGCAGATATATGTACATTAAAGTAACACACACGACATAGCGCTACTTGGGATACGATTAGATTCGTGTTGTGTTGTAATATCGACGGAGTGTATAACTATAACGCTCCGAGCATTAACTCGATAATGGTTCTCATAGTTGTTTTATAATATCTCATATTTCTCCCTCCTTCCCTCCGACGCATGATTGAGGGAAGGAATAAAAACAGCCAAGGGATAAAAAATATCATTGTTTTGTACCGAAGGATAACATGATTGCTTTATAGAGCAATGTGACGTTGTGTCGGGTTTAGGAGGTGGGAAACTTATACAACATGTCTAGTCCGCTACAAATTTGTCACAAGAGGAATATACTACTTGGGTGGTCTCGTAACGGGAGGGAGGGGGAAAAACTCCGTCAGTCTATACCGCTTGCATGTTGATTCATATACCAGCAGTCCCCCCGAGATAGAGCGTTCCCCGTGCAAGTTCACAGTCTTGGTGCAATCAGGAGCGGTGCTGTTGCTACGTTTTAAAGGTGCTTTACCAATCTGGAAAATATTATTCAGTTTTCACGTTCCCCTAAAACACAGTTATATATCAAATAATATTACGCTTTTTGGGGCGCATTACATTTGCCAATTGTTTCTGTGTTAAAAATAGAGAAACTGTTGATTTCAACATGGTTGAGTTGAATTAAGTGATGAGTTTATTAAATAATTTAAAATCTATTGTTCAATAGTCACACAACTATATAAGTCACTATTTTAGGTGGCTTTGGACATTCGAAATAGTCGCATCC